GTGTTTGTTTATCCATGAAAAAAGCCTTACCAGGAAAAGGTGAAGTAATCTAGCTTATGACGTATGCATACTAACTATAGCGCGAGTGTGACATCACCAAAAAATAAAAATTTTCTACTGTATTATAACCAAAATATTAATAACTACAAGGTTTGTGGGCGTAAATTCCTTTAATACGAATTAATGGTAGCATCATCTTCTTGCCATACAAATTACAGCTCCCATTGACGTCTCAGTCGAGAAATATATGTAGCTGAAGTTTTTCTCAAAAATCTGACTACGAAGCATATCGAAATTCACGTTCCACTTCTGACTCTAAGTTGTGCTTCGCACACGCCGCTGAGGGCGGCGTTCCGGGAACCCTGTGTCTAGGCTGGTAATATTAATTCTGGATTTATATAACGCCTAACATTGACACAACCTCAAGGCGCTTAACAACAGAGAAGAAAAACCAAAACAAATGCAAATGTACCAAAAAAATTATTATCAAATATTTGGAATTAGTTTATTGATGTAGGCCTAAAGTACACCCAAGTTGTTTTTACAAACATCAACTCCTACATACTCCTCACCCCACTCCCTGGGTCTGCCATTGAGTTAAAAAGTAGAGATTTGTCTTACCTCATAACCAAACTCCAGTTCGTCTGGATTCAACATCAGGATGTCATCATCCAAGGCCAGTACACATTCTGTCTCGATCTCATCGTATGGGTAAAATCTATTACTTAGTTTGTTCTCTTTAGTCTGTACCACCTTCAGAGGCTTATTAACCTTAGGCCAGGTACTTGCTAAAATTAAAACAAGACACTGAGTAAAAAATTAAATAAATAATTTTGAAGATGACTTAGTAGTGTCAAAATACTGAATCAATGAAACTGAACGATCAGAGTGCTTGGAGTATGCACATACTTTCTAACAGTTGAAAAAAATTTCTAGAAAGCAATACATTTAGCAGTATGGTTAGGTTGAGTGGATAGGCATGGCACAACTCTTTCCGATCAAACTGTAAACCCAATTTGGCCAGAGGAGACCAGATAACAAAGACTACATGGAACGGTATCATAAACCAGACTCCAGGGGTCTATGTATCTACAAGACAACAACACAACCTGATCGCAGCGAGAGCAGAATGTATGATGCTGTCAATGAATGATATACTAACCAGCTGGTGGAGACATTTCCTGGTTATTCCACACCACAAGTATCTTGCTCAAACTAGGTGTTTTTGAAATTTCTTTGATGATCTTGAAAAGGCTCTCAACTCTATTGTAAGTCAAAACAACAGCAGTGAAGCCTTCAGCTTTTGGGGGCATTCGTGGCAAAAAGAATGGGCTGACTGTATTTTCCTGTGACAGGAAAAGGAAGATAATATAATTTACATAAAAAACAATCAATAACGTGTTAACACAATAACTGATGCATCACAATTGATATACACTACTTCAGGCCTTGTGCAATCAGCTCAACCAATTGGAGACATTTTGATAGTAATTTACAAAACTATATCTATAAAAATAATGTTAAATAGTTAACAATAATAGTAAAGAAACATGAGTTAAAAACAGTGAATGATATACAGTAAATATAATATAGCCAGGCATAAACTATCGTTTTTATCTCATCAATTCAGCCGAGAATGAAAAGTTGAAACACCAATCAAAAAGGGTGAAGCATCTTCAAACAATGTTTGATAAGACTGCTTGTTTCAGACATTTCATCAAACAAATCATGTTTTCCATGTCTGTTGAAATCAGATAATGCTTTATATAAAAAATCTGATCCAACAAGAAGATAAGTCTGAGAGATAAACATCTTATCATGTCCTGCTACATATAAATCTAAAACTTTCAACTAATTAAGTTTCCATTAAAATAAAAAAAGAAATATTTAACATCCACTTGTAGTCACTTGTAAACTGGGTTGATACTAAAAAAAAAATTCAAACACTTACTCTACTTGGTTCGTTCCAAGAAGCATAGTTTCGTTTTGCATAAGGAAAGATTCTGTCATTGATAATTTGCAGGATGGTCAGCGCAATACGATCCATCGACTTGAAGTAGTTCTCCCAGTAGAACAACACCTGCTTCCTCATCAACAGAATTTGTGTCGAGGAGATCGATCGCAAAATGTCTGGAAGCCTTTCAAGATCTTCTTCTCGAATTGAAATTGAAGCCCTGAGAAAATTAATTAAAATTTTTTTTTTCATATTAGTGAAGTGATATACATCAAAAACTAAAGCTAATCAGTTGTTGTCTTTATTGATTGATAGGTGTGATCGCTATGTTATTTGATAACTGTGTCTTGGTCACAGACTCCATGCATCATATTGTATGTGGCAAAGCAAATGCTAAATCTGTTTGCGCAACATATGTAGCAGTGTTCTGGATTGCGCAAGGGTAGAGGCGAATGATTGACGGTTTCAGGAAATATATAAATGTAAATAATAATAATTAAATAGAAAGCATGGCTTCAGACAAAATAATATTCCCAATATACCAAAATTGCTAATGTTTATGTTAAAACAATTGTTCTTTACAACAACTTTTTTTTAAAGAAATTTTGTAACATTGGAAGTTCATACTTGGGAGGTTTGTACAGTAGTTAGGGAGTTGTTACTATACTCATGGAGGTATTATTAAAGAGAACACTCGAAAAAGCTACGCGCACGCAGAGCTATGCAAATAAACCAAGAACAAAGCTGCCGCAGCGCGTGAAGTACGTTTGTGCGATGCCTTTGAAGTCTAATGTGTTCCCAGCCACCAAATGCTCAGCAGGCTTTGATTACCAAAAGATTGAGAGCACATTCTTTTCTCAATGCACACTACTTACAGTCATCACTATGGCTGCGCAATCCTAATACATTGATATTTCAAGAAATACCAAACACAATATTTTTTTCTAAAAAAAGAGTTTCAAATTTAATGAAACATTTACATCAGCTTTAAAAGTATGGTATATTGCAACTTGAATTTCCATAAATTGGATAAAACTCAATAATTCCAATTTTAACAGATATTAATTAAGGAATGATGGAGGATTATAATAAAATATGTTATTTTAGGGTTAACGAGGGTTAACTATTCAAAAATTCAATCCAGAATCAGAGTTATTTTCAGTTTTATGCTGCCTTATCTTTTTAGTCAAACAATGAACACAGAAGTAATTTTAGGGCAATTCCATGCAAAACAGGACATGGCACCTAAATTTTTAAAATAGTGGTATCCTACCAAATTTGGTATCAAATTAAAGATGAAATTCTGAACTTTCATGAAATGGTTTTAGTTTTCAAGTTTTTATACTCACTTAAATTTTATATAAGAAATACAATTAATATTATTTTTTCCAAAAAAAATGAATAAAATAGGCCAACTTTTAGAGTGTTTAATTTATGCTCTTTAACATATATTACCAACATAACTGATTGGATTAGTAATTATTAACATTATATGTGGTATATTCATGAATTTATTTTATTTTGCGTACTTCGTTCCGCTACAGCGACTTGACAATGAACTACCATATAAAATGTCCCGAAGTTACCAAAAAAGTAATATTTTTTTTTATTTCTCAAAAAGTACTTAACAAAATAAAAGAAAATTTATTATTTAAATCATAAGCATATATGTGAACAACATAAACATGAATTGAAAAAAAAAAATTATTTCGTTTACAAATTATAGCAATTTAAAAAGTGTCCTGACGTTACTTTTTTGGTAACTTTGTGACGGTAACACTGTGACATCCTATTTAAATGCACAGGGGACAATTCCATGGTAACTTCGGGACACTTTGACACAAAATTTTTAGACTTTATGTGCATACAATATATATAATTTATTCAACAAGCAATAAATCACAGTTACACATTGTACTTGCTACTGCTACCTACATTTCTATTGGAAAAAAAACCTTAAATATCTACAAGCATATATTAAATATGAATTTTATTGTGTCCGATAACTTCAGAACATGAATTGGGATAGAGTTTTAACTTAGTTTTTTAAACATAAAAGTCTGTGAAAAAAGCATACACTTTTTTGATGCAGAATGCACTGAAGAGATATTTAGCTTTAATATGATATCCTTAATACAAATATATTGCAATGACTTATATTAATATAATAATCATTTAAAAAAATCATGTGACATGGACTAGCTATAATTAATCAGTAATTTATACCTAATTGTTTATTTTTGTATACGCACTTGTAGAGTTCAGAAACAGTGATACAGTAAAACCTGGAATTGAAGCCCTGGGCTTCTTTTTTTTTGCAAACTTTGGATGGGCTTCTTTTCGAGGCCACTTTTGCAAAGTAAAAAAGGGGGCTTCTTTTCAAAATATATGCTGTAAATTTTCGGAATTAGTGCTATAAAACAATAAATAGGGCCACTGTAACATCAATCTGTATCATGGAGTGTATAAACAAGCGTGTTTTTAATTTATTTAGCTTCTTTGAAATTTATTTACAGTGTACGTACTGTAACTAATACTATCATATACTGTACTAATACTATCATATACTAAAAGCAGCCTATGTTATCTTGAAAAGAAGCCCATGGGCTTCTTTTCAAGGCTAAATTTGCAAACTAAATAGGGGGGGGGGCTTCAATTAGAGATGGACTTCTTCTTGATATTAAGCCCATTGGGCTTCAATTTGAGGTTTTATGGTATCTCATTGCAAGAAATTTTGAATTTTGTAGTTTTATATTATCGGTTTTTTTTAATGCATTCAAGTTTTTTTTCTTTCTAGTAATAATAAAATATTGTTGTTGACACTCTTCAATATACATAATATATATATAATAATTATACAGTATAATTATTGTGTATATTATTATTATTATTAAAGTTAGCTACTGTGATATAATTTTTAATTTAAAAACATTCTTAAAAAGTGATACAAATGTAAAATATGACCAAATCTGGAATAAATTAACAAAAATATGAAAAATGTTTTAAAAATTGCTTTTATTACATTTGATAATACTGTAGTCAGCATTAAATCATGTTTGTTAGTACAAATTAGATAAGAATCCAACATTTGTTTATGTTTTAAGACCCTTTTAAAATAAAATTTATTCATCATTATGATGTCAACCTTTTGTCCGGAAGTTACTGTCCTGAAGTTACCACATGATTTTTAAAAATGATCATCATAATTATATAAGTCATCATAATATATTTTTATTAAGGATATCCTATTAAAGCTAAATATCTCTTCAATGCTTTCCATATCAAAAAAGTGCATAATGTGCCTTAGTTTCACAGACTTTTATGTTTAAGTAAATAAGTTAAAACTCTATGTCCTATTTCATGTCCTGAAGTTACCGGAGATATTAAAATTAATATTTAATATATGCTTGTAGATATTTAAAGTTTTTTTTCAATAGAAATGTAGGTAGCAGTAGCAAGTACAATGTGTAACTGTGGTTTGTTGATTGTTGAATATATTATATATATTGTATGCACATAAAGTCTAAAATTTTGTGTCAAAGTGTCCAGAAGTTACCGTGGAATTGCCCTTTAACAAAGATATTTTGCGGAATCTGTTTCTGAAATATACACATAATAACATACTAAAAGTCAGAAAAAATCCAATCAGGGGTTTATTATAAAGATATTTAATGGGTTAAAATCAAAAGCTTTATCGCACAACTGCTGTGCTGGAGCGTAAACGCATGTCGTTGCTAAGTTGTTGCTAACAAAAAAAATGTGAATTATAGGATAATACGCCCGCGCGCGATCCAAAGGCGGGGAACACATTCGTTTGTCGCGTCAAAGGGATCTTTTGCTGAGTGATATCCTTCTCAATCATACTTCCATGCTATACTGTAATAATTACCTGCCCCTCTTTTTGAAAATGTATATACTATATTTATATAGCACCTTTCTTTTAAGATACAAAGTACTTTTTTTCTCAGGTTGCTGTAATCACTGCTTGGAGCAGGTAACACCACCAGGCCCCATTTATATTCCTTGGGTTGACAACTGAATCAATGCAGGTTGCTCAAGGACACTAGTGAGAAGCACAACAAAAGAACAGAAAGCAAAACCTTACTGCTGTGCTAAACTGATTACATGAAATAGGTGTCTCATTATAGAGTGCCAAGTTTATAAATATTTAGAAGCGGATTGGCGCAGTAGAAATAGTTTGGTTTCCCAACCCCAAGTTGAGGTTTCAATCCTTCACTGTGCATTTTGCTTGTGTCCTTGAGCAAAGGCACTTTATCTACATTGCTTCAGTCTATTAACCTGTATAGATTAGCACCAGAGAATTGCTGGGAGTAACCTGCGGTGGACCAGCTTCCCACCCAGGGGAGCATCACCTCTCTCATCCACTTCACGCTAATTGAAACTAGGGATAAGCTCCAGTCCCGCTTGAGCCCTGTGGCTCAGCAAGGAATTCCTTTTTGACTATTATGAATATGTCCTAGGACACGTGCCTAAAAAAAGTATGTGTAATTTTAAATTTCTACGAAAAGGAAAGGTTTTCTTTGTTTTATTA